CAGTTCTCAAAATTTGGTGTCAGCCTCTCTTGATACTCTTAGAAATGCACCCATTAAGCTGGTGTCACTGTGGGTATGGCGATTGAAGATTACAAGACAATATGAGGACACTTTAAAAAGTTCATGGAAAATGGAATTAGAAGATAGTGGATTTTTCCATGATTTTTTTGAAGTGTCCTTGTATATACTATTTATGTATATTACTTTTACAAATCATTTTATATCCAAATAGATTGTTTTACATTTCTTTAAGTCTCTAGATTGAATAGTTTAATAATGATGATTAGATTCTCATAGCTGCCTCTGCATTTATTCCCTTGTGAGATCACACATCATGCAGCCTCTGGAAACACTCCCTAGTACACTCATGAGAGAATGGGAGTCCCCACCCAGGTCATACTTTGAGAACTGCTACTCTCTATGAGATGTGATCTCTTCTTTCAACCCAGTCCTGTTGTGTGTGCCATGAAGTCAGTTTCTGCATGTGGCTGCCCTGTAAGACAGAGTGAGACTGCCCATATTCAGACTGTAGATAGCCCCATCTTTGTCCCTTGGAGCAGCTGGGGAGTTCACACTGCTGACCTTTCAGTAAGCTGCATGTTGAACTACACCACCAACAGGACTCCTTATCAAACTGGCTCAAGCAGGTAGAATCCATAAATCAATAAAGATGTGACTGGTTAATTCTCAGATGTCCCCATAATGAGGAAAGGCTTTTGTGTGTGTGTTGGGTGAAGAGAGGGTAGTAACATATGTGGGTTATCATTTCTCTTCCTTCGCTATCTCTCAGCAATTACTCTCGCTGTCCCTGCTTCTTAATCATTTCTACCGCTATCCTGGTTCCCTCCTCTTGAGGAGGCAGGAAGCCTGCGGTATGTTGAATAAAGATTAAAATAATTGTAAGCCATTTGAAAGAGGCATAATGTTAACACCTGCCCTTCTATTCTCACTTAAAAGTCCCATAGTGTCTAAAAGCATTTTTGTAGTATTTTTAAAAATCAGTAAAATAACCTGTTTTATCTTTTTGCTTTTTGTTTTTCAGGAAGGACGAGCAACTGTTAACCAAGATACCAGACTAGACAACAGAGTCATTGATCTTAGGGTATGCTTCATGTATACATGCAGTAGTATGATTGTATACGGGACAGCGGTGCCATCCCTGTCTCGGGCTTACAAAACCAACTGGGAGTTGTCTGTATGCACATACGATTATACAAGAACAAGTTACTTTCTGACTGACCTATATTTCCTGAAAAGGACCAATGAGCAATAGAGGCCCTTAAGTAATAGTTCACAGGATCTTGACTTTGTTCATTTAAAAATGACAAAGTAACATGAAGCCACTAAATGGGGTTCCTTCCAGGTGATACCAGCCTTGGACAAATGGTTCAGCAAGTGGGAACTTAAGATCAATGCAATGCTGTGAAAAATATATCTACATTTTAGAATGACCCAGTGGAGATGAGTAGTTAATGCTTCAATCCTTGGGTAAGTGGTCTGAGTGCAGAATTAATTAAGGGATTGGCCCTCTTGGTTTACACAGTGGGCTCCTGGGTCTTTTGTTTCCTCTTCTGGTTTGGTTGCAAGTGAGAGTTAAGTGGTTTCATCATCGTAACAAAGCGAGTGTCATCTTTCTTTCTTAATATTTTGACCACATCTTCCTCCTCGATTTAAATATCTTACCTAACGATCCAATTCTTTGTCACCTTGACAGTTGTTCCCGTGGTCCTATGTAGAGTTGCCACTGACTCACAGTAATCCTGTGTTCAACATAACCAAACACTCCCTGGCCCGGCACCATCCTTAAACTGTTGTTGTTACTACGTCTGAGCCCGTTGTTGTAGTCACTGTGTCACTCCAGTTCCATGAGGGGCTTCCTCGTTTTTGCTCTCTACCAAGCATGACACACTTCGCCAGGAACTAGACTCTCCTGGTACTGTGTTCAAAGTACTTGAAAAAAA